GTCGGGGGGAGGATTATCATTGTTCAGTCCACTATACAGCTATATTGAACACTTAATACTTAGTCAGAAAACAATACATGTTGTTGCTGAGTTTATTCTACAATAAGCCTATAGCCTACATGTATATGCTGTGTTTTATTTACATATTGAACAATTTCATTATTTTGGGAAAAATAACTCTTTAATTTTGGCAAAAACTTTGTAATACACTGAATAAGTATATGATAGTCTTGTACAAAATCTTATGCTTATTAAATGACTTATCTCATATTATGGTTACATAGTACTGCTTTACTTTAGCTTGAAAAAGTCGTTCATTGTTGTTTGTTTCTTGGCACTTTTAGCATTAGCAATATTTGAGTAGATACCCTCTTTAATTAAAAAGAATTTTTCATGAGTGCTCATTCGAGATGATGCATAATCTGTCAAAATATCAATTCAGTATGTCAGATGTGCCTTTTTAGGAGGCATTTTAGTGATAGGATATTACGAAGTTGAATTTTTTCTCTTTCTCATGATATAATCTTGTCTGCAAATGTGTCTGTGTTGTCTTTGTGATTATAAAACATTTACTGATTGAATCCTAGCTGTCATAACAGACCCATGGGATATAAAACAGTTAAGACTTGTTCATAATCCAAATCAAAAACATACAGTTAATTTAAAATAAGGAAAAACCAATTATCTCCCAGATTCTCACCTTTCTCTTAGTCCAAATCAAAAACATCCAGGTAATTTCTAATAATGATAAAACAATTATAATCTTGTCTGCAAATGTGTCTGTGTTGTCTCTGTGATTATAAAACATTTACTGATTGAATCCTAGCTATCATAACAGACACATGGGATATAAAACAGTTAAGACTTGTTATTCATAATCCAAATCAAAAACATCCAGTTAATTTAAAATAAGGATAAAGCAATTATCTTCTTGATTCACACCTTTCTCTTAATCCAAACATAAAACATTCAGTTCTTCTAAAAACCAATTAACTCCCGTATTCACACATTTCCTGTTGTTTTCCACAATTAGGGATGTCATTGAGACTTAAATAAGTTAATTAGGACAATATTGGTTCTTTGATTACATTGTATATGTAAAGATAATAAGAACTATAACATTGACTCAATATGTGGCTATTATTGAAATGTCCAGACATTTGATTCCTGATAAAATGTTCAGATTAGACAGGTCAGTTTTTCAAATCTGGTTGTTCACTGTTCAGATTAGGAGGTGTTCAGATTTCAAGTTTTTTTAACATGGGGGTCAATGGGAGGAAAAAATGGGACCGAAAAAAAGGTGTTCAAATTGGAAGGTGTTCGGTTTAGCCAAGTGTTCAGATATACAGGTTCTACTGTATTTTAAAAATATTAAATGTAGGCATAATGGTCAAAATAAAAGTTTTATTATAACCCTTGAAGTAAATGTTGATCAATGTGAAAAAAACTCAACATTTATATATTTTTTATGTTGAACTCTACCTGTATATGATAGTACATTTAATTATGCTTTGGGTTAAAATATATTTTACTGTATATTCTGAGAACACATCTGCCATCGAAGTTTGTATAACTAGTTTACATTTTTTAAAGAAGTTCCAATCATATTTTTAGTTCTTGGCAAATGTGCACAGTCACAGTATGATGTTTCAATTTTATATCTATCCTTATCAATTAGGCCTATATGTATTGAATAAGATATGTCCAGTGCTGCCATATTTGAATTGGATAAATAAATATTTTTACTTTCGCTCTACACAGATTTTTATTTGTCAATTCACATGATCTATACCCAGGGATCCATAATAATTTCAGAATCTTTTTTATTTTATTTAACTGTCACATTATTAGAATAGTACTGGCAAATGGACGGATATGCAAAGTATGTGTATTATTTACCAATTTATCCATTTAATTAGTTAATGAAAACAGGGAATGAAATTCTGCACAAAGGGCTAATGTGAAAAATACAGTCCAATCTAGTGGGGATCCGAGGTCTTGATCTTAAAACAATTATCGCTGAAGCTAATTGACGAAAGCCGTGAACATCTCTATGACTTTTATCGCACATTCAATAGTTGGCGAAAATAAATAAGAAAATTTGGACATTACACGCTAAAAAAGTTGATCATCACTTTCACCAGTCCATGCCATTTTAAAAGAAATCACATTTTTGCGTGTTCTTTTTGTTTCTGTCGTTTTTTCTTATTCACGCGACATTTAATGAACAATGAAATATAAAATTAACTTACTTAAACTACTTATTTCATGAAATACAATTCGGATATAAAACAGGGGCATGTAAACACAATAATAATATACAATAATTTTTTTAATCCGATCGTCAACGATGTGTCCGCAAGGCTTGAAAGGTTAGCGAGATATCATACATCGTGTAAAACGGCTGCATATCCATTCATATTTCTTTATGAAAGTTGCCGGCGACGACGTAAAATGAAAGAAATGGAAGTGAACTTAAATTAGAATTGGTCGCACTAAAAATGGCAGAATCTCGTTTTCCCCAGGATAGGTAAAAAAGAATAACGATCATTGAAATCCTCTTATTTTGATCTACAAGTGGTGAAATAATTTTAGATAAAACCGGTTGTTAGCGATGTGTCTGTTAGGCTTGAAACAATATCGTTGTTGGATTTTTTAAATATCCGGATGCGATTTTAATTATGGCGTAGACTCTACCTTCAATATAATGTATATATAAGATAAGATAATGAGAATAACCTTCTGAAATTTCTTAATATAAGCTTTGCAAATCAGTTTACTTTGTGGGAAACCGATAAAAGACGAGTGCTCTAATATCATGTAAAAATGGGTGCATCTCCCAGGAAGTTCAGTCACGCGACAATCTGGTATTATGTGACGTTAAATGATGAAATAAATGGCTAAAAGACACTTGCACTAAAAATTGGCAGAAACCCATCTCCCCCAGGGTTGGTAAAAAAGAATAACACCATTGAAATCGTCTAGATTTGAGCTAAATAGTGCTGAATTAATTATTTGTGAAGGCCGCCGTTAACGATTTATCCGTAAGGCTTGAAAACAGTACACATTTTTGCGTTTTCTATAAAAATATCACAATTGCGATTTTGATTATTGAGACCAGACCTTGAATATAATTAAAAAATGAGAAAGACCGTCTGAAACTACTTGATATACGTTTTTCAAAACTGTTTACCTTGTGGGAAACCGATGAAAGACGAGCGCGATATCATCGTGTAAAGATGGGTACATCCGTCCAATAAAGTTCAGTCACGCTACAATCCGGAATATGTGACGTTAAATGATGATATAAATGGCTCTAAAAAACACTTGGTCGCACTAAAAATTGGCAGAAACCCATCTCCCCCAGGGTTGGTAAAAAAGAATAACACCATTGAAATCGTCTAGATTTGAGCTAAATAGTGCTGAACTAATTGTTTGTGAAGGCCGCCGTTAACGATTTATCCGTAAGGCTTGAAAACAGTACACATTTTTGCGTTTTCTATAAAAAATATCACAATTGCGATTTTGATTATTGAGACCAGACATTGAATGAAATTAAAAAATGAGAAAGACCGTCTGAAACTACTTGATATAAGCTTTTCAAAACCGTTTATTTTGTGGGAAACCGATAAAAGACGAGGGAGATACCGTCGTGTAAAAATGGGTGCATCAACCATGACGTTCATTCATGCGAAAATCGCGCGGGCTAATCACCGTAGATTACTACGCGAAATATGCAGAGAACAATGGAAATGACGTCTTGGATCTCCTGCTGTAACTGATCTATTTGCTAACGATACCCTTACGCAAATTTATAGAAATTTCAATTTTGAGTCCGAAATTGATGAGCAGCGTGACGCTGTTTAAATAGATATGTCAGAATAAAAAAAATGAAAAATAGTATTTTTCAATTCGTTATTAGCAATCCCATTATTGGTGTGAATGTGTCACTGCGACATGTACTTTATGGTAGCTCTCTCCTCGGAATAGAGGTCCACGCTTCATGTTGGAACATTTGGCGATGAATTATTATACTTAGCCAATAATAGTATTTCTTAGTTCTGCTCATGATTATGAAAAAATTTTTGTCTACATGCCTGCTTGGCCATCATGTATTGAAAGGATTTTCATGGCCATAATCTTTCCAATTGTTTTTCAAGTACATAGAAATAGTCAGAGACAAAGTGGTTTTAAAAATTCCACTGGGGTGGACTGACTTTTTCACATCAGCCCTTCGCGCAGCTGGATTCCATTCTGTCTTTTCATTAACAAAAAATCAGTACATACTTCCTTAAGTAATGACATTATATTTTCAATCATATGAAAGTATACAAACTTCAATTATTAGTCCAAGTTAAAAATACGCTCGTTTTAGTGGATTCTTACAGATACATGTATATCTGAAAAAATGAAATATTATTAATTGAAAAAGCTTTTGATTACTTGCCAGATTGTGAAAAACCTATTTACAAAATTGGAAAAACATTTCAAATAGTGAAGTTTGTTTACTTTGGTCCAAATCCTTCTGTATTAAGCGAGAGACTCGAGTAAGAGTCTGTGTGGTAATAGACTTGATGCGAGTAGAATTAATATTGATTTACGTCATTAAATATTCAAAATTCAGTCAAAGTGATGTCATATTTGAAATCTGCATGTAAAAGTACATCTAGAAATATGGTTTCGAAAATTGTCGATCAACTTTGAAAATTTAATTTTTTTTGAAAATGTGACTTCTTGTTCGGGTTGATTCCCCATACACCCCATGTTACAAAACCACAAAAAGTGAATTATCTTTTTTTGTATTGAACAGATAACATTTTCGTTTACTGGACATATTTTAATTTGAATAACTATTAGATACACAAGGGTTATGTGAAAATTGAACCACGCAAATAGATGTAATTTAAGTTAAAGGGAACTTTCTACTATACCCGCCATGCTATCTGACCCGAGCGAGCCACCTGGTGGTGAATCTGGTAACTACCTACTCGCATCTACAGGTAAAACTATACACTCGCTGAGCCAAGTAAATGCTTATAAATTAAATCTCTTCCTAATTTAAGTCATCCATGAAAAAATACCCATTTAACTAAATATGAAGTAAGCAAAACTAAACAAGTATTTTATATCTGAACAAATGTGAACAAATCTTAGGACTCCGCTCTCGTGAAGTGAAGCGAAATATCTGAGCAACGGTGTTTTCCTGATGACTCACCTGTGACCTAATTTACCTGAAATTCAAGATGGCGTGTTTACCGCTGGAAAAGTTTTTCTGTTGGAATTTAAAAACATCGCAGTTTGCATCTGCGATATACGTTATTGTAAGTATTCTGGTGTTCCATAGACTATTTCTCAGATATGATTTGTAAAATATAACCGATTAGTTCAGCGATTCCGATATGGTTAGCTGAATACTGAATTGTTTTGTTGAAAAAAGTTTCCGGAAATAAAGAATTTGTAGAATATTTTCTGAACTTTTATTGAGATAAATACACGAATATATCACGCGTAGTACGTCAACCCCTCTCAGGTTATACCATATACCTTTTTATATGGGATATCAGAGATGGTGGACGACTTACTCCCCTTGGAATATCAAATTTCAGTTTGTTGTAATGTTTTGGCCATTATTCAAACTCGATTCTCCATTGCCTGCAGTGAAAGAATTTAGTCAAAATATTTCAGTAAGGTTCTCTTTGGACCAAGTATTATGGTCGGATTACGAATATTTTGGTAGTATTCAAGTTTCCTCAGCAGTTCTAGTCTTCAAAATATGAGTACAGTAATATTGTTATCAAATTGGTCCAGGCCTGGGCGCCAGGCAATGGAGTATCGAGTTTGAATAATGGTTTCCAATCCTCCCTGTGTTGGGGCAAAAAATAGTTGATAAGTGGTATATTTGGCGTATTTTCTTGAATGTTAACAAATGTCCCAAACTGCAAAAAAAGTATACCCCGCAGCTTATTATTACCAAAATGAGTGTCTCCAAGCATTTCGATTTGAGTTTGAGGTTCTCTCCAACATTTTTGTTCATTGTGGTTAGATTTTAATGGTAAGTGCTCAGTAGCAAATTATTCACATGTGCGAAATGTTCAAATAATCTAATCGGTTTAAACTATTTTAACATACAGTGAAAAATAAAAATTTGAAGTCAACTTTTCAACCAAAGCTCTATCTTTTAAAAAAGAAGGTCAGTTTAAAAAAGATTAAAATCATCCAGAATCCTAAAATTTAGATCCATTGCCTTATCGTAAATGTCGAAAAAGAAATATGCACTGAGAACTTGCCATGTAAAGATGAACCCTCAGATGAGTTGCCAATCCAACAGTCCCCCTATCTACCAGTCAGTGGCAGTTTTCTCCCACCAAATTGCACCATTATTTCTTGTACTTTCAGATCTCCGCATTCTTTGCGCTCCTCCTTGTCATTTTAGACATGGCAGCCTCTGATATCAACAATGGATTTGAAATTGAAGGAGGATTTAGGTCTATCTGGCGTAGACATGTGGCAGAAGGTATGTACGCATACTCTTTTCTTTGAACAAACCCCCATGAAAGTGGTGGTGATTTGCCTTTTTCTAATTTTTGACATTATAAGTGATAGTTTGCCTTGTAGTATAAAGTCAAAAATTAAAAAAAGCAAACCGAACCCACATTTATGGGGGTAATTGATCATTGCACAATAACTTTTGTATAAACATCTGTATGAATATATTGAATGCAAATATCTACAGAAGAAAAAATTATGTTATTAAAAAATGTCGAAAACTTTAAAAAATTCCCATTTTCATGATTTTTTGATAATATGATTTATAGTGCCAAGTTTTCTTCAAAGCTTGCTATAATATGAAAGCCTGTTTGCATTAAAATAGAAAAAAAAAGTTTCATTCTATTTTCAGGCTTTATGACGTGCAATGTGGTTATGCTGTTCGGACATATCATCATGATCGTTCTTTCAATCGTCCTGCTCATGTCTGTCACCAAGCCCTTTGTAAGTCTTTTTAAACAATTTTGTTGAATGGAACATGAATGGTTGGGGGGGGGGGGTATTAGACATTGTTTCTTTTCACATTGGATTATAGTTTGGGATATTTGGGGTTGTTTTCCTTATCACAGGTGTACACTAAGATGTTTTTTTTCTTGCTGGGTTCTATACAATTTTTTTGTCCATTCCCTCTGGCACTTGTGCGTTCATATTTGTACACTTCATCAATTTGATTAATTTGCTGCTGTAATTATTATGAGTAAATGAGTTTCTTTAAGTGAATTGAAGTGAGGAAGGATTTTTTTCTTTATTGAAATATTTCAGATATTTAACGAATGTAGAGTAGGGTGTATTTTGGTGATAAACAATGAATTGGTCATGCAGAATGGAGTATTAATAAACATATCCACACTGTTGTTGTCTGCACATGTATTACCATAACAAATAGAGGTGTTACGGGTCAGTTTTTCTTCGGGTCAGGTCGGGCCAGAAAAAAAGTTTGCGGGTCGGGTAATTTCGGGTCCGGTCAGAAGACAACAGAAAAAGGATTAGTACTAGCAACTGAAATGACTTGGTGAATATAAGGCACATATAAGACTGTTTAAGCCTGCATTACTGCATGTTATGCTTTGATAAAGGAAAAATGATAGAAACTTAATTAGCATTAAATCGTAGAGAACTGTAAATTATTTTGTGATCATAATTTATACATATACATGAAATAGGCCAGCTAAAAGTTTGAAATTTGATAAGTACCTGTTCGTGACCCAACCCGGGCCTTCCGACCTGAGATTTGGGTCAACTTGGGGTCGGTGTGATACCTATAATAATGAAATATATCTCTGATTGAAATTAATGATAATATCAAATTAAACTTAGTGGAGAGAAAAGCGACAAAAATAAAATTGTTATCATTGTATGATGTCTTATTCTATGCATTCCAATGTGTGGTTTATGCAAGTCGTGACATTATGAAGCATATATCATGCATAATATGGTACTTTTGACTGATGGCCTCATTTTGGTGCATGAAGCATGAATCATGCATAATACAAGTGACTACATTTTATATCCCAAATTTGTAAATAAAAGTGTTTTTGTTATTTCAGAAACAATATCGTAACTACCAGATTCACACAGGGTGGTTTTGGATCATGTGTATTTATGTGTTTGCTGAAGCTGTAGTGTCAGCCTACGAGTATTCTTGGTATGGGAAGAACACCTTTGTAAGTAAAAATAAGCTACAAAATGAGTGTTGTGTGGTTGATAATATTTGTGAGTGGTGCTGGTCTTTTTAGTCATTATTAAAGGACAACTGAAATAGCTTTTCTCAACTTGCAGCTACAAAAATGCGGTTTTCTCCATTGTAAGCCCACCGTAGAGTTCTTGCGATAGCTATTATAAAATGAATGTTAGATAACTGCTAACGGTCATAGATAACGAAATAAAACTAACTGATTAATCAAATTGGCCCCCACGTGATTAGTAACGTCATATACAAAATATAGCTTTGGTTTATTGGTTCCATAGTAATCACAACGTCACATCAACCATTGGATTGTTGTATAAACAAATAACAAAACATTTTGGCATTATGACGTCATGATCCAATGGACCAAAACGGGCCACGTGGGGACCAGTGAGAGATCACTTGGGGGCCAATGACGTCACAACCAATTCGAACATTGCTTATTAAGCAGCTATAACGATCGTTAGAGTGAAATAGTTTTCACACTACTGATGAGAAAACATGTCCAAATACATCTTTCAAAAAATAATATTGATTCCTTTAGGTTAAAAATACCATTTCATATCTGCTTTAAGGATTCTAATATGATACGTGACGTCATAATAGCTTGAACAATTGATTTACTGGTCTTTATTGGAGTATGTATGACCGCTAAAATTCATAAATGCAAATAGTTGTTTTTCTTGTCTGTTTATCAAATTAAAATTGTAACAAAAACCTCAATTTTACGACTTATGTCAAATATATGACCTCAAAATTATTCTGGCCATTGACAAAGACCTCAATCGCTACGCGACCTCTGGTCATATATTAAATTTTTGTCTTTATTCCTTAATTAAAATTACTCAGTAGTGAAATACTTTCATGTAAAGAGCAGTTTGATGTTTACCCTGTACCTTTTATGTTTTTTTAGTTCTCATATGAATAATACATGTAAATGTTATACTGTGTATTGATGCATTAATAGAAATATAACATGGATGATGATACCTGTAATGTTTAAGAATTCTTGTATAAACAATGCCTATACTGCTCCTTATTCAAACATGGCCATTCTCTAATCGAGTTTCTAAGCGAATCAGAATGCAGCATAGCCGTGCTCTCATTTTCCATACATGAACAACATTTCATCTATTCAATCATCCTGGGAATCTATGTTTGTGTTGTTTTGTGATGCCACACCTGAGAATGGTGAAAATAACAGCAAGTTTGGTTATTTCATGGGCCTCAGTCCCCAATTCTCTGCACAATGTTTTCACTTTTTTTATTTAATCAATGCAGGTGTACCTCAAGGATCAGTCCTCGGGCCCCTCCTATTTCTTATTTACATTAATGACTTACCAGATGATCTCCTATCCAAAACATTTATTTTTGCTGATGATACATCTATTTATAGTGCACATGACAGTTTTGATCAGATTTTAAACATTCACCAACCACTTCAAAGAGATCTTGACATTTTGGCAAATTGGGCCATGACTTGGAAGATGACTTTTAAGGCACAAAAAAGTGCTGACTTAACCTTTGTATCAGGAAATAGAAGACTATTACAAGAGCCAGTCCCTTTAAAACTAGGAGGAGATGTGATTCCTAGTTGCACCAAACACAAACACCTGGGCTTAGTACTTGATCAAAATCTAAACTTTAATTCACATGTTGACCAACTCATAGAGAGAGTAATCTCTCTCATGAGACCATTGAAAAAGTTAACTAAAATGCTAAACAGTAAATACCTAGAGAATATATATAATTCATTTATACTACCACATTTCGACTACTGTGATACAATATATGATAAGGCATCAACTTCAAAACTATTAACATTGGATAGACTTCATTATCAAGCAGCTTGCCATGTGTCAGGAGCAATACACGGTTCAAACACATCGAAAGTTTTATCATTACTCAACTGGAAAACGTTAGCTTCCAGGAGAGAAGAACATCTTAAAATTTTTGCTTTCAAGGCTAGATACCATTGTTTCCCTCCTTTCATTTGTGATTTAGTTAGTTCATACGAGAATATTCCAAATCGGCCCCTAAGACAACCAAGGCATTATAGAATACCCTTTCCAATCAGTAATTCGTTCAAAAAGTCAACCATTATCAGGGCTATGACCCTGTGGGATGACATACCATATGAGGACAGGAAAGGCCAACCAATATCTAGATTTAAAAGGTTAGTAAGAGGAAATATGAGCCCTGACTCCAGAGTATCCACTACTAAAATGAATATGACAATGCCAAGGAAAATTGAAATTCTGTTCAATAGATTTAGAGCTGGACTGATTCTAAAAGCACATTTATATTCCCATAACTTTGTGACAGTAAATGACCCTTTCTGCGTATGTGGTGACATACAACAAACAACGCATCACTTTTTATTAAACTGCCCTCTGCTGCAACAAGAAAGATGCACTCTCCTAGCAGGACTAAAAACCTTAGGATTTTTCAATCGTTTCCAAAATTTAAACTCTCATGAAAAAATTCAATTTTTATTATTTGGAGACAGAAATCTCACTGTAACTGATAATGAACAAATTATTCATATAGTTAGCCATTACATCTGCCAGGCTCTTGATATTTTAGATTAACCCCCCCCCCCTGAAAGCCTCTAACATTCCCTGCCATTAATATTATGTACCTTATCTATTGTATTTTCATTGTTTCCATTTTTATATGTTTTGTATATTGCCGACAATGTTGAAAAACGTAGGCAATAATATTGTAATGTATTTTATGTTATATTTGGAATAAATGAGAAATGAAAAAAAAAAAAAAAAAAACTTTTTTTATTTATGTTTGAATCAGAATTAATAATGATAGGCCAATCACTATTGGGAAATTCTATACTTGTTAGACAGAGTATCAGTACAAATGTACTTACTTTTGGTTCGTGCTTGGTACGATATTCTGTCCAACTCGTGCTGAAGAATATTAGAAGTAGCTGTATTTTTAGCATGTTTAATCACATATAAATATGTCCCATATCACTGTTTCAGAGGAGACCTTATCTGGTGTTCTTGTGGGTTTTCATGCTGACCAGATTCATTCTAAATGTAAGTAATCATTTTTGGCTCATTATTAAAGGTCCTATCATAAGATACTGTTTTTACCATATAATAGCATTCAGTGATACTGTGGTTTTAAAGATTAAAAAAATTAGGTTCATAAAATAAACTCAAAGTAGAGGTGTCGCAGATGATACATATCACTTCCTGGAAGTTGTCTCTGAAAGTTTTCTGAAAAAGGTCAGGCTTTATAAAAGGTCAGGCTTTATAATAATTTATTTCATGATAGCATATAATGTGATTATACATGATTATTATCGAATAAGCAATACATGTTTTCTTTCAGATGTGTACTATTTGTATATCATACAGTCGACTAAGTGAGATGGATGAAGAAATGAGGTACGGAATATCTCGCAAAACTCTTCCCATGTCCAGAACCAACCTTCTGTCGTCCCAAGCCTCATTTGCATAAACTTGACGACAAGAATAACAAGAACATTCCTATTGGATTAATGTATGTCAATTGCATGGACTTAAGGAGACTACATTAACACCTAAGTCAACATTCCCCAAGATTTACGTGTTTCACTTGCATTGATCCTAACAACTGTGCAGGAGACCATTCCTATGTGATTAATGTACTGTATGTCAATTGCATAGACTTAAGTAGACTACATTAACAATAAGACATTCATTCCTCAAGATTTGAGTAATAAAAGTGTTTCATTTGCATTGATCACCATAACAACTGATCATATTTCCCTTGTTTAGTTACACTGGTTGTCTTGACAACTATAAAAATAATATTCATATTTGATTAGAGTTATTTGGATATCCACACATTAGCCAATGGAATGTTTAAGCTATACCAGTATAGGATATTTGGTCGTAGGTTTTCTTACACAGTGTTCCAAACATGTTAAAATTAATATGGACAGTATCAGCAAACTATAAGTGCTTTAAGTTGAGAATTGTTAGAACAGATAGACTTTATTTTAAAACATTCATTCAAGTGACATTCCCTCAATAAATGGTATCAAATGTATTATGTATATAGTAGTAGCCATTTTTTATATGATGTATATATCTGAAAACTGTAATTTTAATCTCTAGTAAATATGCTTATCATGTATTGTATTTATATGTTTGTACACCACTAATCACATTTATGGAATCAATGCTGGTCTATAAATAAGGATGACATAGCAAACAATGAGTTAAATAAGAAGGAAAAGGGGTAGCTGAGCTACTCAACTGAATTAGTTACATTTCTGATTATGTAATATCAACATTTTAAAATGATAACATGTGGGCAGTTATGTATGTGGTAGAATTGTATAATAGCTTCTGATTCCAAAAATATGAATATGGGTGTAAAAGCAATAAAAAATCATAGATGACAAGAATTTTATATCACTTTTTCTAGACTGGGAATGGGTTATTTTGAAAAGTTTTTGTATGATTTGTATAGTTGGTCTATAAATAGGGATTTACATTCTTACTTCAGTTGCCTACTGAGCTTCTTATTACATATGGCATTGTTGTAAAAGGTATCCCAGCTAATTTAGTGCTATATATTTTACAAAAGATCATTACGAATGATTAAACATGTATATATTTGATGGATTCAATATATTTTAATGACATTTAATAACAGCATGTATATATTTATAACATTTTGTAATTAAAATAAACAGTCAAAAGCTATATTCTGAAAACAACTTTGTTTTGTTTTGGGAAGTTTTTTTAATTATGAAACATGTTAGCATGTCTTTATGTGAATGCTTTTCTGTTCCTTTTAAGCGTCCATGGATTACCGTTTTTAAAGGTGCAACAATTAGTGCATGGGGGGGGGGGGGGCATTCAACGATCATCAAGACTAACATATATTTTTATTATCTACAAAGAAACCCCCTGGGTGAACATTATTTCAGCTGATATTCCTCTTGAAATGTGGTTGATCTTAAAAATCTTTAAGTGGGACTCCCTTTATAGAATTGAATTTACACTTCTTAATCAATGCTGAAATTGATAGTTTATCCATACATTTTTAGAAAATAGGTATGTCAAAGAAGATGTTAAGCCAAATATTGACCTGATAGCTCAGAAAAAAAATTTTCTCTACAGTCCTTGTTGCCCCTTTAAGATACCTGAGAGAACAACCGCCAATTTGCAAACTAAATTGCCGGTATAATGTTGCACAAAGCATTGATAACATTTTATATTTTAAAAAGATGTCAACTATTATCAACTACAGTAAAACCTGTCCAATTAGAGCTACAAAGTTTTCAAAAAGCTTAAGCATGTTTATGTCTCGTTTATGAACCGCTATTCTAAGTATTAATATTGAAAATGGATTCTACATTACTGTCCCACATGGATCTTGTTGAGACACGATCAACTTGAGTTCTGAGAAAATGAGGATTTCAGCAAGGTTGTATATTGACTTAAAAGCTGCATGTCATCAGGGTGATACTTACGAAATCCCCATTCAGAGTCTTAACAAGTTACATCCACGTTGAGAGTATTGGTAGAATCCTTTTTTACTAGTGGGTTCTTTAACAGGACATTAAAGCACTGAGGTCTTTTGAAAACTGTGTAGATCTTATTAAGCCCTTATTAGACAGGTTTTACTGCAGCTGGTAATGTTATAACAGTGACATCTTTATAAAATATCTAAATTGTTATCAATGTTTTGGGTAACATTATTAAAGCCTCGTTTTCATCATTTACACTCTGTACCTGTAATCACACATTTTGACCCGGCGAAGTGAAGTGCAATGATATATATAGAGTATATAGTGTAGGCCTATTATTTGCACTGTGAATAACCTAGATCGCCGTGTACAGCACACGATTTATATCAATGGTCTATAAGTATGTAGGCCTAGTTCCAAAGTGTATATTTGTGCAGGGGTTAGCTATAGACTATAAAACATTATAAGAGCAAAATACACAACTGCAAACACGGAAAATGGCTTTCAAATGTCCCCCAGAAGCTCTGTTACGTCCTCTTATCAGGCAGGGAATGAATATGGTGAGAAACAACAGTAGCTCGGCGAGCGGAACGTACAGAGCAGCGACTGTCACTGAGCTAGGAAAACCGTTACTTATTCAGAATCTTCCCAGGAAACCATTGAAAAAAGATCAGGTCCGAGTAGCTGTGAAATGCTGTGGGATAAATTTTGGGGATATTTTGATGACGCAGGGTAAATATCAGGAGAAGTTTGAATTACCCTTTACCCCGGGTACAGAGACTAGTGGGGTCGTGTTGGAAGTAGGGGACGAGGTGAAGAATGTGAAACAGGGGGACCATGTCATGGGGAATATGATGGGAGGATTCGCTGAGGAGGTAGTGGTATGTATCGATTCCGAGACTCAACTATATTTTGAAGAGTAGTGTAACTGTACAAGGATATTTCGGGGATATGATTTATTTCGGAGTTCCACAGGGGTCTATTTTCGACCCCATTTTATGCTTTAGTATGTTTGGCCTTAATTAATTATTAGTCTTCCTGTAATGTAGAAAGCATGATGAACATCTTCTAATACATATATAAAACGGTAAAACATTGCTTAAATGATATATAATTTGATTATTTAATCAATAGATGATTAATGTAATACATATGGCAGGTTGACTCCAAGATGATATGGGGGATGTATCCGGGAATGGAATTTAAGACGGCAGCTTCCCTCGTGACATCATACGGTACTGCTCAGATGGGACTTGTTAGACGCGCCAACATACAAGAAGGGGACGTTGTTCTCGTCACTGCGGCAGCTGGGGCAGTAGGACTTGCTGCAGTTGATCTCGCCGCTAATGTTTACAACGCTACTGTCATCGGCGCCTGTGGTGGCCCTGAAAAATGTGAACTCATCAAAAAATTCGGCGCAAAATATGCAATAGATTACAAAAAAGAAAGCATACGGGAACGCGTTAAGGAAATCACTAAGGGCAAGGGTGCTAACATTATTTTCGATGCAGTTGGCGGAGATGTTTTCAATGAATGCCTCAGAAGCATTGCGTTCGAAGGACGAATAGTTGTAGTAGGATTTGCTTCCGGGGAAATCCCAAAAATCCCGGCAAATATTCTGTTGGTAAAGTCCTGTTCCGCGGTCGGGTTATACTGGGGAAGCTACAGTCAGCGGGACCCTAAAGCCTTTATTGAGTCCGTTACACAGTGTATGGCCCTTAGTGCATCGAAGACCGTGACACCACACGTATCAAAAACATTCCCACTCGAACAAGTGAACGAAGCTCTTTTATATGTTGGTAACAGGAGTTCTACGGGGAAGGTGGTGGTCAGAGCGGGGCCAGAGCCATGATAAATCTAGTGAGAGAAAAATATTGATTCAAATGATAATTGTGCTGCTCTATAGCCTTTAAGACTGCAAAATAGCCATTACATGTATCTACATATTCGCAATTAGCATGGACGAATGCAGAAAGAAGATTGATTTTACATATTTTATCCCGAGTACTACGTTAATCCAAGGACGTCCTTGGTTAATCATTGTTATAAATAAGTTCGAATGCATGCCCAAAATTGTCCATAAATGGACCACATAGATAAATGGACACTTATTCTAAGTTAATAATAATTTCCATACACAGGGTCTTCATTCCTTCTTACGTTATCTCGTCTATCTTTAGCTGCAAGAAAACGAAAGACCATAAACTATATCCGAGGACGTCCTTGCTATATCTTTACATTTCTAATCAAATAATGAGGGAGTTGCAAAATAGCTCAATAAAGCTGAATGACTAGATGTCGCCACTTGTATTAAAATGTTTTGGCAGGGCCAGACTGCCATATGGTTCAAAGATAAAATCTTTGGTTTTAAACAATTTTAAAGGGGCAACATGGCCTGTAGAGAGAAAATAGGAAAATTTTAACTTTTTCTGTGCTATCAAGACTATCAAGTTCAAAGCTTTAAAAAGGGGAAATCCACTTTTATATATTTTTAAGACCCACCATTAGTCCATGGTAGGAAATCTCTAGGACGTCTAATAAAGGAGCTGGTAGCACAGTATAGCGCAGCGATATTTGACCTTATATTAACATACCTACATATGTTCCCTAATCATTTTTATTATGACCGTTTAATATACTTCTGGCGTCTAGCCTGAATTATGCCTGTCACTAGCAGAGGTCCAAAAATTGCCAAAAACTAAAATCCCAATTTTTCACAATTTGGAGTACACAATCCAACAGAAAAATGCAAAATGATTTTAAATATATGATTTAGTTTTCTAAGCTATAAGTTTGAGATTATTTTTCTTATCAATACAAAAAAAATGTTATCAGTGTATCAACGTTTTGCATTGTTTCTCAGCTATTAATGAGATAAATGCTACGAATGAATCACTTTTATTTTAGAATGACAAATGCTTAAATTATGCTAGTTTTTCACAAAATGGGTCTCAATACATTTCGAGATATGAACATTTATTCAGCGGTGAACATTATCAATAAAGGAGGGACTATTGCTGAATCGTTATCATTATCTTCCTAAAACTTGACTATATCCAGCGGTAAGGTCAAAGAAGAAACAACCATCAGAAAACTTGATGGTAGCCAGCAGTAACGTCGAGGAAGAATTTTAAGGCGTTCGAATGCATATGACTCAAATTGATTATTAGACATGCCCTTATATATGAACATTCCAATACCTCAATAACATTTTATTAGATATACATCTTACCTATTTGTTATTGCATTATGATTTATAAAACATGAATAACTAGACATGTAAATTGAACAAGTTCAATTTAAGACTCCAGATTTAAGACTTGTTTAAGCTGAGTCATCCAATTACTTGTAAGCTGAGTCATTCAGAATAAGCTGAGTCAGCTAGAATATAGACATTTAGAAAACTCTTAAGAATGTTATCTTCGACTCCATTTGTATAACATGGGGATGGATATCATCATATCGACTTTTCGAGACTTCAAACTGCTATAACTATCTAACCAGGAGTTTGATCGAAAATTGGTTTATAGATTCGGATTCCTGAGAAAATTCTATTCTTAATTCATAACTCATACGTTAAATATTGAGAACTTTTTATTTTGACCTCCATTTTGGACACCATATCTCAAAAGTGGGTCAAATTACTTCCTGACGGCAAAGGCTAACACTATAAGCACATCCTTTGCTACCTGTGTCCAAAATTTTAAAGCAAATTATCAAAGTGTAGTATCAGAATTGTTAAAATAAGGAAAAACTATGTATTTGACCTAGATTTTGACCTAGGCACTTTTGTGTCCAAATTTTGAAGCTAGGTAGCTTTTGAAACCCCTTGTTTTATAGGCATTCATTATGTTAAACTGTACTCAGTCTTTATCTTGTATTTTACACTTCAAAAAAAGTATTTTTCCCATTTGGTCTGTTATTACGATTGAGTGAACTAACTCAGATGTGAGCTTCAATAAGACTTTATTGTACCAGCTATCAAGATCATAACATTACATCAATGGCGGGCATCTAGGAAGGCCCCGGATGTCGGTCTTAAAAAGCCTGACACTAATGACGTCACATATTATTTAAAGGCTTAACATAATATCTCCAAGAGTGAGTTACCTAACACTACAACATTGACTTAACACAGGGCACCAAATTTAGCGATTTTTGAGCTTTCAAAATGCTATAACCGAAATTTGGTTTTCAGATTTGGATTCCTTCACATATTAGCACACACGTTGAATTTGGAGAACTTTTTGTTCTGAACTACCTTTCGGACGCCATATCTCAAAATTGTGGTAAGAGTAATCTTCTTGGAGCTTGTTTTGATGCCAAACCCATAAATTCGTTACCCCTTCAGTGGCGTAGGGAACAATTCACGCCAAAACGCCAATGTGAAGTGTGAAAAAGTGAGAATAAAAAAGGCTTATTAATTTTCTTATGTTCTTTAGTCATATTTTCTCATTGTGAATTAATTGTACAATTAATCTCGAGCACACTAGCCTGAAGAAATGTTGTTTTGATACCATATGATATGGTCGATTTTTCAATTGTACTCTTTTACAAAATTTTTGTGCTTCTGTTATTTTCTAACCTTGGCCGCAGATAAAAGACATTTTTTGTAAAATCAATTTTTTCTCAATTTTATGGTCCCAGTATTTGGAGGTTTTCAGCACTTTAACAGCAATTTCCCCGGTTATAGTTGAGCTAGCTAGTTATACACATATTTTGGCAATTATTTTTTATTCCTGCTTGGTCTCTCAATTGTGTATGGGAATTAATTCGCGTGTTTAACTGACCACTTCCGGTCATTTCGTATATTTCTAATTTAATTAGTGGTTTCGTTTCACGTTTGGGTAGTTGACATCCACTAAATCACCACCAAAGTTTTTAGTGCGTCATTTCGAAACATTCGGAACAACCAACCTTCGCACCGCTCATATCATACCGTTCCAATACAGGTTAGTTTGTTTTTCTTTCTATCCAGTTTCAATAGATTAGTATAAATAACGATCTCAAGTATTGATTGAGTAGCTTTGGACTAGAATTAGCTTATATTTTTCGAGATATATGGAGTTCAAGTTGAGAATTAAAACTAAGTTTTGGAATTAAATTCAGGAGGATAACTTTAACTCATTAAAGCATCTTTATTATGTCAGTCTGTACATAATAGGATAGTTTCTAAATAGCAGAAAAATCAATGAAATCTCGTGCTGCCATCTTTTATTCAGCTTTTAACTCGGGCTAGAGCTCCATTCATTTACATGCTAAAATCTTGGAAAAGTGGCTTAATTTCATGATTTATCAAAGTGTGTTTGTTGAATCTGTATAAAACTTGAATGATATACCACATAATGACCCTGTTTATGTACATAATGTAATTAAACATGCAAATGTTGATTGACATACAAATAATCCACGGATTTAAAGAATTTTAGCATTGCATCTATGGACATTTGGCCCAAGTTTTTTTAAATTGTTATAGAAAATTATTCAAATTACATAACTGTGTAAATCAAAGCTATTATAGGAGAAAACATTTCACTGAATTCAAATATGCCATTTAAAAGAAGGTAACGTAAGTCATTAGAGGTCTAATATGCAAGTCTCTTAAAATCTCACGAAAAACGAGATTTAGCGAGATTTCAAAAGCTATATGGAAACTATACTATTGTTGTTATATTTCATGTCTCGGTAATTTATATTCATTAATATTTTATGTTTGGGAGTAATTTTGGCGTTATTTAGCTTGCAATCGTACGAAATTGGAATTTGGTGCAAACAAGTGGGTGACGTCATCACACCGCTGCCTAGGCACATTAAGCTTAGTTTTCTGCATGAGAAAAATGCAAATTCTGCCCAGAAATTCTGCATGAAAAAGCCAAATTCTGATTGATTTATAAAATTCTGCGCCAAATTCTGCACGGAAAAAGTGAAATTTTGTGGTGCAAGTACACGTATGTGCAAAACACAGGCCCAGGAAGATTTAAATCCCCCTCCCCCAGTCACTGTATAGCTAATTTAAAAAAATACAGGCTCACTTCGTAAACATCCAATTCTCTTCTCTAACACGCGCCTAACCATCGATGTAAAAAAATAACGGAGAACAGTTTTTAGTATGGTGACGCAAATCGACTGCTTTGAAGCAAAAACTATGATAAGGGTTCTAAAAAAATTAATTTGATGAAAACAAATACGATTTCACGTGAAATAAAAACAGCATTCTCTTCGAAATGGTTTTAACTTTCTAATTATGATAAACGTTTTACGAGCACTGTTCGGATTTTTTCTGAGTGAATCGGCCCACATAATCGACCCTTGGTGAAAAGGGGTGTTTTTCACATTTCTTTTAGTTATTATTTTCCCTGTCGTCTGAAAGTATGGATTATTTTTATGAGAATATGTATTTGTTAAATACACATTTTAGAACGGGCGAAGATTCAGCAAATAACCATTCATTGTGTATATTTAAAAAAGATCAGATTTGTACGGTGACGCATAAGCTGTGAGAAGTAAACTCACAGTATAAAGAACTCATTATTTACTTCAAATCGCATAAGTTTTGGTGTGGAAGTTCAAATATTGATCCAGTCAAGTATCCCTTGTATAAATGTTGTCAAACTGATCACTGGTATCAAGCGAAAGTTACTGCAGAAAGGAAGTGTCGATTTCGATATTTTTAGTTTTCTTCGAATCAAACTTCTTTATAGTTTGCGTTATGCTTTAATGAACTAAATGAGACTAAGCTTATACGAAATGGAAACTCCAGCGTATGATCATTTGATCGTATATAATACATGGGCGCCACAATTCAACGATATCTTCCACCGCTTAATGGAAGGTTACTGGAAATGTATGATACGGTAAGAATCATGAAACCAAAAACGCAGTATATTTGTTGCTATGTTATTGATGTTTTTAAACAAGTGATGTCACAAGTAAATCTCATCTTCCACGTGTGACTTTTTATGATAAAAGATGCAATATCTTGCATGGGGTAAAGATGGATGGGACCCTGGGAACAACCCAAGATTGTGTTTTTTCGAAACAAGCAGGTTAAAGTATGGCAATATTATACTCAGTTTGAGGGCGTTTTGAGAACAACACAATTATGGTATTGTTTTTTCTGGTTTGTGCATCAAGAAAATCAAAGTGGCTGCCTTGAGCAGGAATTCGCTTTTACTTAAGATCTCTTCTAAGAATGGTTACATAATACCTTAGATCTCAAATATTGTATTATCTTTATGATTTGTCCCTTTGAAATTCCTAGATGGTCTTGGGTCCCAAATGCCATCATGAGAATTCATTGCCTTCTGTTAGCTTCTTTCTAGAAGGTATTTCTAGTTGAAGACAGAAAGATGTGATGAGTATTAGAATGCCTAAATGTCTCTAAGACCTGGTCTGTCAAGGCTTGTTTACAGGTTTCCAGCCGAACCAAAGGGATTCATGGAAATTTTCAAGGAGGTTTCTACATATAAAAATTTAGAACTGATTA